ATTCTTAACATGTAGGAGAAAATAATTTTGGAATAAAATAATAATGAATTATGACATCTATTTTTTAATAGAAGGTGAGAAAGGGGGGCATTCTCTTTTTGTGCTATTTACTGCCTCTGGAAACCTGCTCGAGGGTCAGCTTTGAGTTGGTTTCAACTGGATGGTACATAACACTAACATAAACCTAACAATTTTATTTCATTTAAGAATTTTTTTAAAAAAGCAAGAAGAATGGCCTTAAGGAAGGAAGGAAAATGATGCGCACGTAAACGTAAAAGCAAGCTTGAGAATAAAGAACAGAGAAAAGAGGAGAGAATGGTTTAAAACATACCTGTTTAAACAATGATGAAGAGTCAATAATAAAAGAGGGGAGGTAGGTAAGTGAGAGATGGAAAAACCATTTCAAATGAGATCTGAAGGACATGGACTCTGAAAGGTCACTTTGCGAAACAGAAATTAAGATCATTTACTTAGAGTAAAATTGGATTTATGGCAACAGTGGAAGACTGGTAAAATGTGCACAAAGTCTAAAATAGTAAATTTATAATTTCTTTTTTTTTCTTTTTTTTTTTTAGAATTTCTTTTAAGAATGCTAACCAGAGGAACACCAAAATTCTGAGGAATACTGAGGGGACAATTTCTGCATCAAAAAAAAATGTGTATGCTGCAAGATTTCCTTTTTTAACATAAATTTCTTCACAAATAGTGAAAGAATTTAAAATGCCATTTTAGAAACACAATTAGAATTAACTTCTTGGTCTTATTAAAGAAGGGGAGAAACAGGAGCTTCTGACTGTGAATCTGCCATTTGCTGGCTGCACAATCTTCAGCTAATTTCTTAACCTTTCCAGGTCTCTGTTTCTCTAACTATTAAAAAGTGGATAATTATATCTTTCTCATGGATTTGTTACACTGATTAAGTAATAAAAATAAAGTGACTAACACAAAGGCTGGCGAAGAACAGACATTCAACAAAGGTTAGTTCCATTCTTAACTCCTAAAATGTCTGCTGACACCGCTGCATGTCACCTCTTGCTTATTGTTGTAGGTAAAAGAGCTATCTAGCTACAAACACAGGCTCTTTCTTCTAGAAACCTCTCCTTCCCAGAAAGCATTATCTCACTGTTGTCGTCATTATCTCTGCAGAGCTAGAAACCAAGTTTCCTGAATATATCCCAGAGGATCGAGGGGAAGGGAGACAGACATACATGACCAAAGCCAGAAATATGTAATGTTACAAACACAAAGATCAAGTTATAGATTAAAAAAATCAATACAAACTGAATTGAACCACTATATATACATATCTATCATATCTGTATGGTGATCAGCAACAGACTAGAAAAAAAGAACTCTTAGTCTTGAAGAGAGACAATATCTCTGTCTACTGAGGGGTGCCATTCTCCTCTGAATATGCAAAATTATATGGAAAAAAATTATAGCATCCTATCCCCCTCTTTTCTAAAATATACACACAGATTATCCCATCCCTATCCATTTTATGCATTTTATGCAAAGGCATTTGACTGTGTTGATCATGACAAGTTGTCGCTGACACTGAGAAGAATGAATGGGAATTCCAGAGCACTCGACTGTGCTCATGCAGAACTTATACCAGGATCAGGAGGCTGTTATGAGAAGGGAGCAGGGGAGCACTGCATGGTTTCGAACTGGGAAGAGACCTGTTCAATCGATATGCTGAGCAAATTATCCAAGAAGCTGAAATCTATGAAGAGGAATGTGGCATCAGGATTGGAGGGAGACTGACCAATAACCTGCATTATGCAGATGACACAACCTTACTTGCTGAAAGTGAAGACATGAAACACTTGTTGCAGAAGATCAAGGAAATGCAGCCTTCAGCATGGATTGCATCTCAATATCAAGAAAACAAAGATTCTTACCACCAGAGCAATAGGCAGTGTCATGATGGATGGAGAGGAGATGGAAACTGTCAACAGCTTCATTTTGCTTGGATCCACAATTAACACCCTTGGTACTAGCACTCAGGAAATAAAGAGACACATTGCAACGGGAAAATCTGCAGTTAGGGACCTTTGCAAATTATTGAGAAGTAGTGATGTCAGTTTGAAGACAAAAGTATGTCTGATTCAGACCATGGTCTTTTCAATTACTAGCTATGTGTCTCAGACCTGCACAATGAATAAGGATAACAGAACAAGAATTGATAACTTTGAATTATGGTGGAGAAGAGTACTGAACATCCCATGGACGGCCAAGAGAATGAACAAATAGGTATTGGAAATGATGCAGCTGAAGTGCTCTTTGGAGGCAAAAATGATGGGGTTTCGCCTCACATGCTTTAGACATGGAGCTAGGAGGTGCTATTCATCGAAGAAGGAAATGATGCTGGGAAGGGTAGAGGGTTAGCAAGGGAGAGGAAACCTTCAACCAGGTGGATTGACATGGTGACTGCTGCATTGGGCTCTTGTGTGTCAGGAAGTGTGAGGACAGCTCAGGACAGGACTGGGTTCCGGTCTTTTGTTCCTAGTGTCACTATGACTCATACACAACTCAATGACACCTAACAACAATAACCCATTTTGATCCATATTGCTTTCTAATGTTTTTCTTTTTAATTTTGCTGACCCAGTTTAAGTTAGTTTTTCTAATAATCATATGTTTTACTAATCTTTTTATTAAAGTAATACAATTTGAATATTTAGTAAAACTGTTGATGCCAAGATATATTTATATCCTAAAATTCTGTCAGTTGTCCTTTAATTTTTAATATGAATTTTAGACGGATAAGGGAAGATCAAAACCAGCAATTATTAAAATATTCATGAACCATAAAATAAAACTCAATTAATGACTTAGGAAGCACTTTTCTCATTCTAAACTTACAATAGTACAATTTAAAATTTCAGAAAATTAACCCTTTAAAGCAATCACTGCTGGGTAGCCTGTTAAATATCATCTATGTCTACTATAACTAGCGTTTCAGTGCTCCTTTATCGAAATCATCCATGTCTACTATAGAATTTCAATGTTACTTTATCGTTTCCGTTCTAAAACACTTTGGTTTGACTCTTATCACCCTATCATATTAAATGCCTATCATATTTAAATATTAACTTAAGTAAAAATAAATAAAATTCCAATGAAGGCATAATTTCATTCAGAGCCAAAAAACTGACTAATCAAGTTGTCTTTGCCTCTCTTTTTTAAGTATCTTAAAATGTGTAACTCTGAGTAACAAATCACTCAATTTTGTTTTAACAGATTAAAAGTGATAACCTGGTAGGGAGGCCCAGAATGAAGGATAAACAGTAACTTTAGTTTCTAGTGCTGGGAGAATACTAGCTGTTACCTCTGAGGACAGAGAGAGAGATCAGCTGGCCCAGTGGACAGAAAGCAATACTACAAAGCCAAAGGTGGGTGACTTTTAATCCGCAGCTCTCAGACCTTCATTGTTTTTGTTCAGACATTCCTCTAGGTCGTGTAGCCCTGGTGTACAAGTTGCCGTACAGAAGTAACTTGTGGTTGCTGTAAGGTTGAACACTGTGACACTAATGTGTCAAATGCGTTAATGGTTGGCTACCCAATGCGGACTGAGAGTGGGGTGGAGCTCCCCGATTAAAACAAGCTTGGAAGGAGGAGTGTCATCCGCTTCCATAATAGCTTGCCTCCAGATACCCTATGAACCTGAAGAGAGGATGAAAGGCACCCAAGCATTGAGGACTCTCCTTCATAGAGCCGATATGAGTCGTCTGCGACTCGACGGCACTTAACAACAACCACCTCTGAGGAAGAAGGGCTGTGACTGTGAGAGTGTCTCCAGCAATGCTAATAATGTACTACTTAATCACGTGTGTTTTGATTTTGAAGCTTTCTCACTGCTGTCAAGTCAGAATTGTCTCACAGCTGACTCTCTATTAATAGTTTTCTGAAGCTGTAAACTGTACAGGACAAGATCGCCTCTCCTTCTTAGAGTTGCAGGTGACTCTGGGTCACCTTTTTATAGCTCAACTTTTTATAAACTATGACCTTAGAGCACTTTATCCATGAATATGTGTGTAAATACATTTTTAACCATGGTTTTTCACTTTTCAGTATGTAGAAAATGCTTTAAAAACATTTTTTTTAAAAAGATTTTAAAAGTAATTGAAGATTAGTTGTACTTTCATAGTTACAAGCAATAAGAATCAAAACCCAAACAAGTAGGTTCCTCATTTTCAGAAAGCTTAAAAAACTAATTAATAATAGTATCATTTTTTCCCAATACAAATGTAAAAAAATTTTTTGTTCATGTGATACTTAAAAATCTGAATATTAATAAAGGTATGAGTCCAATACAAATAAAGAAAATATCTGAGCATATTATAAACATTATAAATATAAAAGAACGAATATTTAACTTTAATTTGTTGATACCAATAGGTAAATACTTTTGGGTTACTTTCAATTAAGTACAATAAATATCAGGAAATTGATATGTTAGGAGAATCATGAGTCAATTTTTTTTAAAATGATGGCAAAATGATTAAGGGTGTAGTCATAGAACTAGTAAGCATAAAGTTTGAATCTAACTATACTATTTATTAGCTTTGCACACTTGCACAAATTATTTAAGCTCCCTGTTTACCATCTAAAAAAATAAAACAAAAATATTACCAACTTTATTCAGTTGTTGAGAGACTTAAATAAGCAAAAGTTATCTTGGGCAAAGCAAGCATTTTCAATTGGTGTTGATTATATACTATTTGCCTATATATACAAATCACACAAAGTATGTTTCATATTACATATGGTAGGAATCTTAGTGTCTTCTTTTAGTAGGATTTCTCTGATATCATTTGCTTTGTATTTCACACAACAACAACAATTCTCCTATTTAAATTGTAAAAGAGAGTAGTTTCTCAGCAGTAAAATGGGACTATATGTTACTTTTTTAAACTCAAAGTCAAGTAAGTATCCATATATAGTATACCTATTGTCACATTAAAAAAAGTAATCATCAAACTAATTTGTATTACCTGGGTCTCCACACCTTGCTCTAACAGGCGTTTAGCTTGATTTTCCACCTCAAGTCGAGCTCTTCCAATAAAAAGTAGATCATTTTCTATGACTTCTATTCCAGAAAGATCTATTCCTTGGGAAAGGTAATCTATTGAAAAAACAAAATTGCACACATATTCAAGCATCTCCATTTCGAATAGATTAGGAGAGATTTATTGTTGAATACAATTCCCTTTGTAAAAACCCAATATTTTTTTAAAAAATTTCTGAAATATTTTCTCCTTAATAAGTAACTTATATGTAGAGCTCAATATTTAAATAAAATAGACTTGATATAGTATAGAAATTATGACATGTTTAAAGCAATATCAGGAGATAAGAAAAAATGTTAAATTTCTTTTACTTCTTGTAAATAAATACAAAAAATTCAGAAATTTGCAAGAACTGTTACAAAAAAAGCTGCATAAAGAAAAACATTAGAAATAAATATTCAGTATTTAGAGGCTTATTAATAACTATGAAAAAGACCTTAATAAAACTTACATGCAGCTAATTTACATGATCATGGAAACAAATACATAGCTACTTATAAGGAGCTCTGGTGGCCTAATCTATAGGGACTTTTGCCAGTTAGTAAAATATCATAAGTAATTTATCATAATCTCTTAATTAGAATATTTTATCTTTATGCATTACTTAAATAGATCACTCAAACTCACTGCCATCGAGTAGGAACCAACTCATAGTTGGCCCTCGAACAGATTTAGAGAGGCTATAAATAGCACACACACAAAAAAATCACTCATCTTTCTCACTCAGAGTAGCTGGTAGATTCAAACTACTTGTCCCTGAGCTGACAATTCAACTCCTTACACACCAACGGAGTTCCTTATATATATCACTGTTGTTTGTTATCGGGTGCTTCGAGTAGGGACCGATCCATAGCTTGATCCTCCAGCGGGTTTTCAGAAGCAATAAACCACATGGGAGGAGATTGCTCATCCTTTCATGGAATAGCTGGTGAATCTGAACTACATGTCTTTGGAATTGCAGTGCAGCTTCTTAACATTAGGCAACGAGAGCTCAAAGCACTTACATATTATCATGCTTCACTTAAGACTGCAATATACAAATGCAAATAAAATCAAACAATTGCTCTGGAGTTAGTTTTGACTCATGTTACAGAGTAGAATTGTATTTTATAGGGTTTTCAAAGGTTAATTTATGAGGATCAGATCACTAACTCCTCTTCATTGACAGCTCTAAGTTAACGTAACAATCGGCCTTTTTCTTAGCAACTTGGCAGATGAACTATCTGTACTACCCAGGAACTTAAAGCATACTACCTAGGTCAACTACATTATTCAGTTCAAGTCTACTTGTTCTTGGTTGTTAAGTGGTCATTAACTATATTTCTACTTAAGGTCACATACTAGCATTCAAAGATCTGTTAGCTAACCTTAACTTTAGAGGGTGAAACCAGGCTGCTTTTGGAGGCAAGGCTTCAGAGATTCCGTCTGGCATACTTTGGGCTCGCTGCAAGGAGGGACCAATTCTTGGAGAGGGACATCATGCTTGGAAAGATAGAGGGACAGTGCAAGAGAGGAATACCATCAATGAGATGGACTGATTCAGTGGGGGGTGTAATGAGGGTAGGATGAGCAGATAGGAATGTCTAAACTCAGCAAATTCCATCTATAGGCTCAGAGGTTCCAATCAACCTCTAGTCTTTCCTTGCTCTTAAATATGAGGATATAATAAATGATTTTCTACATCTGAGCAAAGCCTACAACATGAAAAAAGGTAAAGGAAACAAACATAAAAACCAAAAAACTACATAGAGAGAGGAAAATGTCAAAAAAAGACTCTCATTAGAGAAATCAGGGCTAATTTCACACCTATGAAGCAAGAATACATTTTAACATGAAAGGAACAATCAGAAAGCAAAACAAGTGTTTGGTCATTAAAAATATTCCAAGAGAAATGAAAATGTTGTAGGAAAATTTGAAAAATGGAGAAAAACCTCCCATAAATATACCAAGGAAGTATAGGGAAAAATTTAGGAACGTAAAATTAGAAGATATGCCCCAAAAGTTCAATATTAGAATAATAAGAATTTGAAAAGGAGAAATATAACAAAGGGATGTGGAAAAATCAGCAGTAAAAGAAAGGTTACTCAAACCTGTTGGATATAAATTCCAGAATAAAGGAACCTACAAAATATCCACCACATACACACAAAAGGCACCATGAAGATATATCTTTATTTTGGTGACATTTCAGAATTAAGATCAAAAGATAAAGTCCTATTGGCTCCCATGAAAATGCAGTTCAGCTGATCCTGTAAACAAAGGATCAACCATCACCAATACTGAAAAACACAAAATAGTCTTATCGTCTAACCTTTACTGACCAAGTTCCAATTTAAAATTCCATAATCAGTTAAATGAGTAAACAAACATAGTTAAATACACATTTCCATAAATTTAAATTACCAAAAAAAAATTCTCTTTCACACATACACTTCTTCAGGAAACTAAAGAGCAAACCAAGAAAAAGAAGGTAACTTGGAACAGAGTACACAATAGGTCTGGCTTGGAAGAACAGCAAATAAAATATTCTAATTACAGTCAAAGGAGATTCTAGGCTAGTAATATTTAACCAAACTGAGAGACTTAATAAAGGATAAAAATGTAAAAAGTTCCTAGGAAACACTGGGTTAAAAACAAATTAGAATTAAGATAAAGCTATAAAACAGCACCAAACAATATAGATGCTGTTTGGTTACAAAACTGGCATGATTAAATGATCCAGTCAACAATGAAATTGAACAAGGGGCATTTTATAACTGTTGTTAAGTGCTCCAACTCCTAGCAAATAGACACAACAGAACAAAACCCTCCCTGCCCATCATCACCAGATATGCTGCACTTAAACCCAATGTGGCAGGAACCAGGCCAATCTTTCTCTCTTACTATCATTAGTACGTGCAAGTTTTCTCATGAAAATGTACAGGAAAAGGACAGTGTTTGGCTGCCTGTCAATAAAGACAAGTAAGTTGAGACAGAGGCTGAATCTTTTAAATGTGCTTTATTCGGATGTCTGAGAGAATATGGAAGGCACTGATGCTCTCATAAGCCAGAATCAAGTCAAGCTTTTTCAGAGGATGGGAAGCCCTTCCTGAACAATATGAAACTAAAGAGACCTAGGACTCACTGATACAAAACTAATATTTGAACAACTGAGATGACAATGTAAACAATAGAGATATAGAAAAGAAAGGAAAAAAAAAGAGGATGGGGAAAGGAACACGGAAAGGATCTGAATGGGAAGTGTCCAAGGATCTGAAAAGGTTGTTCTATGTTGTCCTTTCCCTGGACAGTTGTCAGATGTTCTGTTTCATATTTGAGGTAGGTAGATATCAGGCTTCCTTGCTGATAGAACATTCATTAAGTAATTTCTCCAATTTTTTTATGTCAGGGTGACGTGATCACATACTTACTTCATGCCGTAACAATCTCACAACTGCTAATCAATCAGGTTAATATTGGTAACTTTTCACTCTTGTCCTACACTCTGGTGAAGTTGTCAACGATTTCATCTTGCTAGGATCAACAACCCTGGGCACCAGCAGTCAGGAAAACAAAATATAATTCCACTGAGAAAGATCCACTATCAAGAACCTCTCTAGAGTACTAAAGAACAATGATGTCAGCCAGAGACTAAGGTGTGCCTGATCCAAAACATAGTCTTCTCAATTGCTTTCTATGCATCTGAGAGCTGAACAATGACTAAGGATGACAGAAGGAGAACTGATGCCTTTGAGTTGAGGTGCTAGAGAAGAGGACTGAACATACCACGGGATGCAAAGAGAACAAACAGGTCTGTTCTAGGCAGGGTTGTTCCAAGTTGCTCCTTGGAAGCAAGGATTTTTAAACTCTATCTCAGACACTTTGGGCACATTGTCAGCACGCTTGAAGGGTAGAGGGTCAGCACAGGAGAGGTAGACCACGGAGATGGATTGATACAGTGGCAGTAGCAATGGGGCTCAGTGTGTGAGAAATGGTGAGGTTAAGGCTAGGTTCAAGGTCATTGTTCAAAGAGTCACTATGAGTTGACTCAACGGCACATAACAATAATCTATGAAATTAACCTTTACATAAACTGAGACACCCATAAAGCCTGTACAAATGTTTAACTACAACATAAGTTCTACCAAAGTTTTAGAGAAGTCAGGTACATTCCTACTTAGGGAGAGTTCAACAGAAAGAATCTTGAACTAGAAATGAGAATGCCAGAGCTTTAGTTGTATTCAGTAATTCCAAGACATGGGGCAGGGGGATCATTTAACATTTATAAAACTCCAAAACTGAAGATGTTAAAAACTTGTGATGTAAATCTCACATGGTTATAAAGAATAAATGAGATAGTACATGTGAAATGTGATTTATAAGCCATGAAATAAAACATATAAATAAATTAGATTTCTAAAGCAGTTTGAGTTGTTGTTAGCCTCTGTTCTTTTGAATTGAGGATGGAAGCTCAAGAACAAATACATTTTCTTTTTTTTTGTTTTTTATTATTATTACTTTCAGTAAAAATTTACATAGACTTTGGATTTCCATTTATTCATTGTTGCATTTTTCTCCCCTCCCAACCCTCCCCCACCCTCTACACTTCCCCTCTTGGAAAAGTAAAAGAAAAATACTTCCATTGTTTTACATTTTCTTATTAGTACAGTTCAGTATTACAGAAAACAAACACAGACTGAAATCTTTACTTTTCTAACCAACCTTGAATAGCTATTACAGTTTAAACTATGCACAAAATGGCCTTGGGCTATAAACTTCTTTAGCTCAATCTTTGTATTTCAAATCAGAAGCGCTTCTCAGGCCATGTTAATCTTCCTTTTTCTTCAAAGATTCTTTTGGCATCAAAAGCCTTCTACTCACCACAACCCCCCACTACAAGAGGGGAAAAAAAACTTTACTATTTTTTACCACAACTTTACTATTAAAAAAGAAAAATACAAACCCAAAACAAACAAACAAAAAAAACCCTGACTTCATAAATCCTACTCTAGGTTTGTCTCAGCACAAAAAAATTTCCCAAGGCAAGAAAAAAGAAAAAGAGAAACAGTGCATTCTA